AGATGACCCTAATGAAGAAGGGGGGCAGTTGTTTTTCCACATTTGCTGTCACACAATTGACCATGTTCACAAGTTCAACAATGATGAGCACATGAAATCCCGGAAACATTGTGAATGCAGTGCAGCGGCAAAAAAAAAAGAAGGTAAAATACTTTTGATATATAGAATATTAAATGCAAATGTATCATTTGTTTTCACTTTATTTTTGAAAGAAAATCTCAATTTGTATGATGACAAAAGTTAATCTCCCTCCTCCCTGATTGAATTTTAAAAGCACATAAAACAAGCACATTAAACAAAAAACAAATAGACAGAACATTTCTAATGACAAATGCATCATGAAGATTAATTTTTATTCTTTCCTTTCTAGGTGGATCTGCACTTGCTCTGACAACCCGCTTCATCTATGGAGAGAAAATAATTCATATTGGACTTTATGCGGTGTTTGACTAGAGCAGACATTCCGCTTGATAAAGCTCCTGCCTTCCAAGAGTTTTTATGCAACTACACAAAGCAGGGAGGGACTATTCCAACACCATCACAGCTTTGAAATATATACTTGAAGGAGCTTACTCGTGAGCATTAAGTATTTTTGAAGAAGCATGTTGAGGACACGGATGTGTACTTGTTCCTGAATGAGACCACTGATTCCAGCAGGTGCAGTGTTCTGGCAGTGCTGGGACAGCCCCTGCAGAAAGTTGGGGAGAAGCCTCTTCTTATTGGAGTAGAATTCTAGGCTCTGCTAATAGTCTTAAATGTAAAAATGGTTAACTTTGATAAAGTGCTTGCAGTTGCCACAGTTGCTACATGAGCAAAGCATTTAACACAATTCTGTTGGAATTGTTTCCTAATGCAATACATATTACATGCATTGCCCATCTTCTGAACTTGATTTTGGAAATTTGGCCTGTTATACTGGAGGACATAAACACAGTGGTCTCTATGGTCAAGAAAGTCTTCTGCCAAAGTCCAATGCACCGGCATCAGTACTTGTAATTTATGGAGACGAAGGATGTGTCAACCTTTTCGAGAAAATCATGCAAGATGGTAGTGAAAAGTTGGGACTGATTTTGAAAAAGCATCCGTCAATTGCTACCCATAAAGCAGTTCGTACTTTTAATCCTCACCAGCTAGCAACAATGGATGCAGAAAAAGACTTATATAGTAATAATGTGATTCCTGCCCTTTCAACAATTTCAAACTTTGAATGCCATGCTTATAAAGCAGCTGGGGAAATATCCCAGCTAACCACAAAATAGCAGCATGGTGAGGAGCTGAGTCTGAGCCACTTGTGAAACTTGCTAAGATCCAAAAAGGTACATTTGGCTACCAGTGAGCACAGCTGATGTTGAAAAGTCATTTTCTGTTTATTCAGACCTCAAAGACAATCGACAAAGCCTAACAGAAAAGATAAAGATTCTTCTCTTGTTAAAATTTAACCGAACCAAACTTTTGGCTGAGAATTTTATGTTTGTTTCTGTGAAAATTTGATTTTGAAAATTTTAATTTCTCTGCAAACTATGTTGAAACTGCACTTTTGCATCTTTCGAAACGTGTTGTTAAGGAAAACATTAATAAATTGTTTTTTTCCATAATCTATGATGTGTTTAGTTTTTAAAAATGAGAAAACAGAAAAAATGTAGGTTAGCAGCAAAATGTGTCTCTCAATAGCACCAATTCCCCCTCCGTAATTCTTCGCAAATATTTAGCAAATTTCTCCATAAGTTTCCGTAAAATTTGTAAAGTGCTCCGCAATTTGTTTTTGCAAATATTTCTGCACTTTTCTATTGGCCCATGTTATAAGGTATGGACATAATAGAGCAAATTGCCTTTTCTTGTTTGATGCTTTTTTATGGGTTAAACCAGTCTTCCCAGTTCTCAGAAGTATAAAGAACCAATGCTCTTTGTGCCACCTACTGCCGCTCTCTAGAAACACTGCAAATCAGGCACTCAGGCAAGGTCTAACTGTGCACATGAATGATCTGTTTAATACCTTGGTTAAAATCAGTCACCATGTCAGTGTCTCACACAGAAAATCAAATATAATTCTTAATCAAATTACAACATAATGATCCAAAGTCCAAAGCCTATGAAACAAAATTTGGTTATTGACTTTCATGGAATCCTCTAGATAAAGGTTTACTAGTCCTGAAGGTGAATGTCAACCTCAGTGTTTTCAAACGTGTGATTGAATAAATAAACAGTATGCTTGATCCTGCATTATTAACGTTCGTTTATTGTCCTCCTGATGTGAAAGGTACTATATAAAGCCAATTTGTTATTATTTTTTATTAAACTAATCGAAATAACAGAAGTACCAATTTTATTCCATAGCACGACACATGGGTTGGAATTTTTCCAAGGTTTTTTTAATATAATTTTTGCTGTGCTTTCCTATTGTTGTATTAGAATTGTCCAGCTGAGCTTCAAGTTGGAGTTGATAATAATTAATAACAGTAATAATAATGATGATAATGATAGGATGGGCTCACAGGAAATTCAAAGAGCCCTTTCCTTTCACAGTTCAGAACACAAAAGCAAAACTGAATTACTGATGCTATAAAGGAGTGTCTGTGCATCTACACTGTATAATACTGAGGAGGTAGTATCATTGATTCCATGATACAATGGTGCATATCGGCAGGACCATGATAATAAATTGCCATCTGTAAGTTTGGAAAGCTCCCCTCTTGCTCACCTGACTCATAACCTTGTGTTCAACCAAATTAACATCTGATGGCTGTTCCACATGGCTAGGAACAAATACCAGAATGGGTTCACTTTAACATGGGAACGGTTACACATTAACAAGGGGGAAGAATTAGCTGCTTCACAGTTTGGCAAAATTAATGAAACTTTGAAGGAGAGCTCCTGAATACATCTTTTTTTTTAATTTAAAAAAGCAGGATTTTCCCATCGTAAATGTATAGTATAAAGATTTATCAATTGGGCTCACAAGACTTCAGAAGAAGTCTAAAACCTGACAAGAAGTTGAGCTATGCTCAATTGCTCTCTTCAAAAGCAACAATAATGTGTAATTCAATTTAATACCTAAAGACAAGCTTTTCAATGAAGTGCTCAGAACCACAGAGTTTTATTTTGATGGGTGTAGTCTTTAGGTGTTAAAAAGAATTACACATTACAATTGCTTTTGAAGAGAGCAATTGAGTGTAGCTCAACGTCTTGTCAGGTCCTGGACTTCTTCGCCACAAAGATTCAAAACATCCGTTTGGCTGCATCATCTTCCCTGCCCCGCTGTTCCCTTCCACCCCACCCAGACCATCCACACCGCCTTCTCCCTCCGCCACGGCTTCTGCTACTTCCCCCTCCTTTATAATTATTATTATATTCCTCTGCCCCCATTTCTCCCTCCTCCCCCTCAACCACAATCACCCAGATGAAGTTCACCACCTGCTGCGTCGAACCCCTCCCTACCTAGCTGCTGGTCACTCAACTCCCCCTTCGCTCCCCCCTGCTGGCCGACATGGTCAACCAGTCTTTCTCCGCAGTCCTCCACTCTCCCTGAAAACCGCTGTTATTACACCCCTCCCTCTGCCTCCTCATCCTCCTGAATCTCTCTGCCGCGTTCGACACAATCGACCACGCCATTCTCCTCCACCGCCTCTCCTCCACCACAGTGGCACCACACTTATATGGTTTGAGTCCTACTTAACCAACTGCATCCAGTTCATCTCGGCAAATGGTTTCTCCTCCCACCCTCACCCGGTCACCTGCGGGGTACCCCAGGGCTTAATCCTTGGCTCTCTTCTTTTCCTTATTTATATGCTCCCTCTGGGTGATGTCTGGATTACTGAAATGCACTCCTCTCCAGTCTCCCCAGCTCCACCATTCAAAAGATCCAGCTCATTCAGAACTCTGCAGCCTGCATACTTACCCGGACCAAACTCTGTACCCACATCTCACCAGTTGTGGCCAGGCTCCACTGTCTCCACATCACCGAATGGATCGACTTCAAGATTCTCACACTTGTGTTCAAATCCTTCTGGATCTCCCTACCCCTTCGACCTCCTCACTCCCCAATCCACCACCCGGTGCCTCCACTCGATGGCACCTGTCTCCTGCTCCTTCGCACCCTCCACCCCACCATGGGAGGTTGCGCTTTCAGCCACTACCCCCCGAAACTCTGGAACACTCTCCCTCGATCCCTCCACCTTGCCTCCTCCCTCCCCTTTTTGAAGTCCCTTCTGAAAAACTTCCTCTTTGACCGTGCTTATGGCCACCTCCAACCACCCCCCCCACCCGGCTCGGAGTCAGGCTCTGCTACTGTTAAGCGCTCTCAGATGCTGCTCTGTGTGGAGGGCACTATATAAGTGCAAGCTGTTGTTGTTGTAGCTGTGTTTTGTTAAAAGGAAATGGTGCAATCTCTCACCTCTGTGACTGTCCAAGTCAGTAAAAAAAATGTTTTTTGTTGGTCAACCAAATGTCTGAAACCCATCACCATGCTTAAGAGTATCTAAACCAAGCTGAGATTTCCATGCATCCCCCCAACACATGAAAATCCCAGAGATAAGATTGTTGGAATGGAATGTGCACTCTCTCCCTGGAGGGACACGTTCTGCTTACCTAATTCCAGAAAGTATTAGGTGCTGGTTGGCAAGAGCCAAGGCTTGGGGACCCAAGAGTGTGCGTTGGGGTACTGCTGGAGGCTAACCAGCTAAAACCGCATAGCTTGCCATTGATATTGCTGTCTGGCAAGCTTTCTCTCTGCTTGTCCAGCTAGGACTGCCCTGCCTGTCAGGGCTTTGGCTTGCAGGGTTAACAGGAGCTGAGTGGGATGACTCCCTGCCCCCAGTGACTGGTCTGCCCTTCCAAGCCCTGTCCATGAGCTGTGCTGTCATCAGCAGTCCTCTGGAATATTACCGACCGCCTGGCTCAGGAACAGGACTACCGAGACCACCAGAGGGCTTCCTCGATTCCAACATTATTACTCTCCCCCACACACACACACCAGGAGGGATAGCCAGTCTGTAAATCATGGGGCTGTGTTGGAGCTGACGGCTTAAAAGGCTGGAGCTATGCAAAAGCACATGTCATGTGACTTGATTATTTCAGCTCTGCTGAGCAGTTGAATAGAGTGAGTGAGTCCATGCAAGCAGAGAGAGACACACACAAAGGCCATGTAGCTTTATAGATTAACCGCTCTATGTGAGAGGAACAGATAAACAAAGCATCCAGCGCTGAAAGAGTGCTGCTCAAAGTCACACAGAATGTGGGACCAGACCAGTGATCCAGTTGGAAGTCCTGGGTTGCATCGAGGAGTCTTAATCAAATCAGGCAAGTGTGTATGAGTGTGGGAGGTGAGCAGCAATAGAAGTTACTTAAGATAATGTCAAGTCATAGGGAGTCATAATGTTAAGTCTCAATGCTCACCCTTTCCCACCCTGAGTTTGAAAATAAATCCAGAAGAGTACACATTCATTCACTGACTGGATTTCAGGAACAATTTGCTGAACTGCTTTTGCTCACACAATCTGCTCACACAGGCTCAGGCACGGTACACAGTTACTTACGCAGAAAATACTGTACAGTAATCGGTTTGCTTATTGTGCAGAAATCTGTTCAGTGTTGTTGCACTCTACTTACTTTGCAGCACTTAAATGTAGAAATGGATTAGATAAGGGCAAAAAGGTTTTGTGTCATTCTACATGTTTTTGAGCTTTTACTTATCGATCTAAAAAAATGTTGTATCTTTGTTGTCTCATTGGCTTTATATCAAAGTTTTCCTGCTCCCCAGTGAATACTAGTATTGTAGTAGCAAGCATTCCCTCTGGTGAGTCTGTATACATCAAGGCAACACCTTACACTGTTTACTCAGAGGTTAAATTACAAGAGAAATTAATCCTAACATTGATAGTGCCAACCCACACACGGGGTTACTGCTGCACTGGACAGCTTCACTCCGGTTACATTCTTGTCAGTGCATTCCAGCATTGTTCTTCACTAACTGGCTTACCTCTCCAACAAGGAGAAGTTTTTATTAACACGAGTTCCTTTAATGTGAAATGTGTTATTTATTTTATTTTGGACAGAATATTCTGGCGCCTGTTTACACCCAAGTACACCATTAAAGATATTATCACCACAGTGCAAAAAATCAATGGAACGTGACCGCGTGAATATTATCAATGGACTAGCAGTGTTCGTGTAGGGTGTAAGATGCAGTGATTTCTAATGGGGATTTCTTATTAAGGAATCCTAAATTGTGCGACTCTGACCCAAAGGAACTTCTCTCCAACACAATCCCGAGTTCCCATGGGTCACCGTGATGTGTCTAATGTACCTTTATTTTTACTGCAAAGGAAAGTGAGATTAACTCACTCCTGAATGCACGAACATATTTGGACTGTGTTTTTTTAACATGTTGCATGACAGGATACGATAGAGCTGAATGAAAATGGGGATTCAACTCATAGCATTTAGTATTTTCACTCTCTATGGAACTAACAATGACCGAACATCACATATGTTCACCATACAGTATTTCACAACTCTGCAACCCTCCTCCTAGGGACCCTTGGCAATGGAAGGGGAGCAATGACTAAAGTTTGTTCGTTACCATGGCAATCGCTGATGTGTTTTGTCTTCGTGCCCAAGCAAACTGAACCCCTTTTCAGCTCTTAGCATGTGTTCAAAATGACAATTCGGACCGTTGACGGCTGATTTTGAAAATGTGGGAGGTGAAACTCCAATAACCTGTAGGGTTGGGGTAATTTTGTTGAACAAAGTTTGATGTGTATGAGGAAATGTTGCTGTGAGCAGATAATAATAAGGTTCTGTTTATCGAGGTTCATTATATGCGGAAATTAGTGAATAGGTTCAACACTTAAAGAACAACATTGCTGTTGCATTTTCAGTTGTCAGCTACAAACTGCAGATATTAAACTCAGGAGCTCAGACGATGGAGCCCAGGCTGAGAAGGGAAGGTTTTGACTTAAAGGCAACACCTTCCTTACTCAGCCTGGGCTCCATCAGTCTGAGCTCCTGAGTTTAAGGCAGAGGAGGAAATAGACAGTGGAATTATTAATGAAATAACACCCCTTACACCCCCACCCCCCACCCAGACTTGGATAAATTTCCATTGTATATACCTTATAGACATGTTCTTAAAGATAAAGCAAATCTGCGGTGGGTGGGGGAGTCGAAGGGAGATTTGTGATGCTCTCTCACCACAGATGGATGGGGAAGTACTAAAGCCATCACTGTGGATCTCTGTGGAACAGAATGCAGGAGAGCTGAAGCAAGGTATACTCCATCTATTTTACCAGCCAAAGACACTTCACCCACTTGAGGATGAGTGATTAGAGGGGTTGTGATCTCAGTGACATAACAGGATATCAGGACATTCTTGGTTTACCAGGATGGTATCAGGAATGAGGGACTTCAGTTATCAACAACAACAAAATTACATTTGTATAGTGCCTTTCACGTCAGAAGGACGTCCCAAGGCGCTGGACAGTCAGAGTTTCAGATCCGAGTTGAGGGTTGGGATTGGGGAGGGTGGAGGGCAGGGGTGGAGGGCAGGGGGGGGAAGCAGGGAGATCGAAAGCACAGTCAAAGAGGAGGGTCTTGAGATGGGTCTTGAAGGAGGCAAGGAAGGGGGCAAGGTGGAGGGATTGCGAGATGGAATTCCAGAGGGTGGGGGCACAGCTAGTTGTTCGGATCTGGAATGCATTACCTGAAAGGGTGGTGGAAGCCGATTCGATAACAACTTTTAAGAGAGAAGTAAATAATTATGTGGGGAGGATAAGTTTGCAGGGTTATAGGGAGAGAGCGGGGGAGTAGGATTGAATTGGATAGCTCTTTTCAAAGAGATGGCACAGACACGATGGGCTGAATGGCCTCCTTCTGTGCTCTATAATGCTATGATTGTATGATTGTTGAGAACTCCAGTCCCCAGCCTGTGATTGCCCAGGAACCATCCCCTAACATTCACAAACAACTACCCATAGCAGAAATGTGCAACCCCTTTGCCATTGGCCCAGCCTCAGCCCCTTCCAACAAACATGGGGGCTAAATGGCAATTAATTTAAATCTAGGTTGCCATCTCCACAAGGTTTCAACCACGGAATGCTATTCCCTTGTTATGATATAAATGGCTCCAGGTCCCCAAAGACACCCATTGCTTGCACCACAGCCATCTGCTTACAGACTGCCCTGGTGCCTGCACCAATGTGGATTTAATGGCTTTAATGTACTCATGATCTTCTCAGTATTTCAACTCCAAATGCAGCTCTGTCACTGCGAACCATTGGTGAAATAGGTTCTGTCTTGATTACATCATCAGTATATACAGTGCCTTGAAACTAGCTGAGTTTAGTGTTAGAGAAGCTGACATTCTTTGTAAACGCTCCGGTGTATAACAGCAGCTATCTGTCTGACTGAGAGCACTGCTTCTCAATGTGTGTGTGGGTGTCAAAGAGAAGGAAGTTAAAACTGAGATTGAATGGAGCTTATTGAAGAGAAGCGAAGGAGAGAGAAATATAGAAGCATAGGAACCTTAGCAAATAGGGAAAAAAATGACTGACAAACAGATGGTGACATATAAATATGAAGGAACATTGACTGAAAGGAATAATGAAAAGAAGCTATTTACAGTGTTAACACTAGTTTAAAAATTAGTCCACTTGATACCTTATCCTTTTGATTTTATAATTTGAACTCCTAGTCTCGGCCAGTAGACTAGTGCAATGCTGGGGGGGGCGCTTTGTTGTTAAAGGTTCCATCCTTCAGTGGGAACATTAAACTGAAGGATGTCAGTTTAGTCCCAAGGCACTACTCAAAAAGAGAACAGATTAGCTGCTTAAATTTGCATACAAATACACAGTCAATACTTTTGCTTACAGTAAATATCCTGTGAAACACTTTGAGCTATTTTTATAAATCTCAAGGATTATTTTAAAAAAGTGAGAACTGAGTATATTTTTAAATTTTGTGGTGATTTCTATCTTCCCTCTCCCTCTGCTCCGAACGCCTCCTCATTCTAGTATTGGATTCTTTCTTACCATGATTGGATCCTTGCCATTAACCAATAAAGGTCTGAACACAGAGTTGTACAATCAAGACAGTTTATTCAACAATGTAACAGAATATACGACCAGATAAGCAGTCTTGCCTGATGACCAGCACTCGACTCAGCAACCTGTAGTTCTTACTCTGTGGAGCTCAACTTTTCTTTGTGTTGTATTTATACCCAGCTAGTTGGTGTACCCGTGATCTACTCGTGATGGTACTTTTCCACTAGCCTATGTGCCCTGCTGAGACTAATTTTCCTCCTTATCTAGCTCCTTGTCCATACTCCCTGTTCTTCCTCAATCAGTATGTTTCATAACTGTGCATTCCAGTCTCTAGTCATGGGCCCTACTCACAGGTCACTGCATATGAGCCATCTATTCTGTTAACCTTTTCTTATACTAACACTAGGTGACTTCAACCTCCACTTCACCCACTCCTGCTCTACCTCTGCTGACTTCTTCCTCCGCTCTCCTCCCACAACCTCTCTCTCCCTCCACATCAACTCTGTCACCCACGTCCACGGTCATCCCCTTAATCTGGTGATCACCCAGGGCCGCACCGTCTCAGACATCACCATCACTGACAAAGCCATTTTGGATCACTACTTCATTTTCCTTAACTCCTCCACTCCCGCTTGCACCGACTTAACCCACTTCTATCTCCTACCACCCTTGGAAAAAAATCTCCCCCCACTCCCTTTCTGCTGCTCTGGAGTCATCCAAACTCTGGCTCTCACAACAACCTACCCTCCTTCTCTCTTCTCCAAAACTCTTTCTCCTCCATCCTTTACTCCTTTGACCCTTCACCTCCTGAACCATCTCCTACTCCCATAAATCCCCCGGTACACCAGCCACCTCTGATTCCTCAAGGCAAGTGCGTGCCGCCGAATGCACCTGGATCAAATCAAACCTAACATCGGCAGATCTGGCGAGACAACACCACTGTCCTCGCCACTGCCAAATCATCCTTCTACTCCAAGACAATCTTGGTGGCCGAGAACAACCCCAGGCTCCTCTTCTCCACCACTAACTGGCTCCTCCGTCTACCTTCCTGCACCTTGCATCTTTAATTGAGCCGACCTGGCACAAATGTAACTTTAAGCAAACTGAATCAGAGCAAATGTAATAATAATAATAATCCTTGCATTTGATATTGCAATTTTCACATCTTCTCGACGTCTCAAAGCGCTTCACAGAATATACTGTAAAGTGAATTGACTGTATATTTGTGGGCGAAACGCAGAGCCAATTGCGCACAGCAGT